TGTAGATGACAATAAATAGAACTAGGCACTATCGAACTATTCCTAGGCCAAGAACTAAAAAAAATATTGCTGAAACTTTTTCCTCCTTCCTCACAAAAAAACTTCAAGACACTTCGCCCACCAACCCTCCTCATCTGGTCTAGATAAATCCCAATCCACTAATCCGCAAAATCTAGAAAAGAATCCATTGCAAAAGCTACCTATGAAACCGTAGAAATTGAATCCTGAGCAATTTCCTCACAACAAAATCAAACTCAACAAAACAAAATCAAACTCAACAAAAACAAACAATCGGTGCGCTGTATTTTACGGCCTGGAGCCAATTTCAAGCCAAAGTACCCCTCATTTGAACACCCATAACTTCGTTGAAAGTGAAGCTATCGGAGAGGGGTAAGTGGGAATGAGTAGAGCTAGGTTGGCTCTTGTCACCTGAATTGAGCGATTTCAAAAACGTTCCGATTCCAGAGATTTTCCCCGTTGTGATCATCGTTGTGATCCGTCTGTGATCATTTTTGCGAGTCGCTACGCTTTGGACGTCCATGGCAAGCTTCATACACGGCCTTTCGTAAAAAAAGAATTGTGCCGGAAGCTTGAAGATTTCTACTTTCCAGCAAGGCTTTAATCTTCCTAGGCCTGCTATTCGAAAAAATTCCCCGTTGTGATCATTTCGTGACCCCCCCCACGACACGAAAAATCAGCCCCTCCGAGGCCATGAAACCTCCAGTTGGCTTGAAGACTTTAGTCACCTGTATCACCTGTATCACCTGTGCTCCCGTTGATCATCGAGTTCCTCGAGCGGGCGCCAGTAACGTCTCCATTCGTCCCTGCAACGTGCAAGAGTTGCCCAATGAACTCTCTCAGCTCGAGGGACAGGCTTTAATTTTCTTCCTAGGCCTGCTATTCGAAAAAATTCCCCGTTGTGATCATTTCGTGACCACCCCCCACGACACGAAAAATCAGCCCCTCCGAGGCCATGAAACCTCCAGTTGGCTTGAAGACTTTGGTATGCTTCTAAAACACATGTTTTCGCAAAGGGTATCAGGAAATAGGCCATTGGGCGCCAATTGGCATCACCTCTGCAATGCGCCATGCATGGGGCTTTCACGCAGGTGTTTGGAAGGTGTAACTTCTAGATAGGGCTTCCCAATTGCAAGCAAATGTGCTCCTGCAATCAGAAAAGTCCGGGAATGTACTTTCGTCTGTTTATTCATCGTCAGTCGTAAGTCCTTTCCATTGTTTATAAATTCATGGTGCCCTTGTGGGCGGTGATCGTAGCTCCTATCATCGCCCCTTCCTCGTACGTATTGTCAGTATGCTACACCAGCGCCAGAGTGCTGGACGTGCTTGGGACGTACGTAGGTACTGCGACCTCCCCCCCCCCGCTCGACAGCAAAATTTTGAATTTTGTAAAAAAACCAGAAATTTTTTGGGAAAAATAGACAAAGTGGTAGGAGGTTGGAAAAATCTAGGGAAGAGGTAACATGGGGAGGGGGGTCGTACTTGAAGATGGAATTAGGGGGTCGTATTTTTCAGGAAATGATCACAACGCAATGGCGTGCCCTGGTTGTAGGGCTCCTTAGTCACAGTGTATGTAGTTCGGCGCCGGGCTGGGGTGGAGGGGGGGGGAAGGTGCATTTTGCACTTTTGCTATTTCCCTTCAACGTGTCTTTTCCAAGAGCCTGTTGGAGCCAGAAAAGACACTCTGTCCGAGGCACACATCAGTAAGAATATGCAGCCTAGAGAGAAGAGGTGGATATGAATAATAGGGAGCGAAGCGAGATGTCCCGCGAGAAGAAGAAGCAGGCTCTCGTCCATCACCTTCATGCACACCAAAATATGAAGCCATCTGCAGTCGCAGCCGAACTGAGAAGGCCTATGGAATTCAGGTTACCTCCAAACAGCTGCAAAGTTTCTTGCATGGACAGCTACCTGAAGGCCGGTACTCTTAATCTGGAGACCTCCAACATCGAGCAGCTCCGACAACGTCGCTACGGTCCAGGATATCATCTTCACTGCAGTCGCCAAGGCGCGGGTTGATGGTATGGACCGGAAGTTCCTGGAATGGGAAGACCGATATTTTCTTCGTGGACCCCGGACTGAAAGTGAACGCTGACTGTTACATCAAACAGCTCGAGGAGAATATCCTGCCTTCATGTCTTCGCCTGTACCGTATTGGGTGCCAGCGCATGGAATCGAAGAGCGTCGGAAAAACTCCCCTGGCTTGGAATTGAAGGGCGCTGGGTACCTGAAAAAGACGGAATATCCAAGTGTGTCACTTGATCTAAACCCCCATCCCCCCCCCCCCAGTTACCGGGCTCGGGCGGAGCTCAACAGGGTGGACAGTGGCGGAGAAATCAACAGCCTCCCTGAACTCAGACACCGAATTACGGTCGCGTGGCAGAATCACTCGATAGCGTTAGTCTAGAGGCACTGGGCGGAGTTGGTGATGGTGTATGAGTCTGGTGATGGTGTATGGTGTGTTGTTGAATTTAATGGTGGGGATGGCCAACCAGAATTTGATAAAGTGTAACTTATCGCTTGGAAAGTCGAGGGGGAAAAGTGGCCTTTTGCCCCCCCCCCCTGTGTGTGATAAATTTTGTGAAGCTCGGAATAATACCATCCAGTTTCGTAGAGACCGCCTGTCAACTCTTGTACCTGTCAAGCCTTGTAAGACAATGAAGTACCATAGAGGGTGTGTGACAAGACAATCGTAATGTGGCGCGCTGGTGGTTGCGCCGAGCAGCGCAGCGTCAGATATACGAGTTGTTTTGCATGGCTATTAAAGGGACGGGGAAATTTGATATCGGCCGCCATGAGGTTTTTACGACTTGAATCCGTATGAGTTTCACTGCTCCAATCGATAAACTGATGCACATTGAGGATTCGCCATGCATTCGCCACGCGATATGCGATGCGACAAGTTGCGATTATCTTGTCCGTCTCCGCCAGAGAAATACCATTTACCGTGGTGGCTCGACGAGATTGCTTCAGCTTCACAAGTTTCACCAGAGTGAGGCTTGTAAACTGAAACTACTGGAGCAGCGAAAGCACATGCCCCTACCCCGGCCACTACCCAAACTGTACCGTGTAGAAAATTTTGGCTGCAGGTAGTCATAGTGGTCCCTGAACATGCTCTTGTTTTCTGTTGCTACCAGCATGTTACCAGGACAGTATTAGGCTATTGTTCCTGCCTAGTTTTAGTGACAAATCCGGATCGGCTCTTGCTCAGGCCAAGCAAGTCTTTTACCTTCCGGGAGCTCTTGTGAAAGGTAAAAGCACTGACTCGTACATTGTTCACCTCGCAAGTCGTTGGATAGGCCATATCGCCTTCAAAACAATCCGCTGCTATTTAGAAGGGGAGTTGAAAGCGTGTCGCACCCCAAAAAGGGTTTGATCCATGGCGAAGATTTGATCCTTCTATTACATTTCAGGTAGGTGAGACGTAACGTTTTTGATAAGAGGGCCGATTCACCGAAGAATAGCCAATAAGTCGGACGTTTTTAGCTGTGAGCCACCTGAGGTATACCATAATTGTACCCCTTATTCCTGAGCCAGAGTAGGCGTGGCATTCAGAAGAAGGCACGGAATGGTTACTCGTGGAATATTCCAGTCTGGACAACTGTCATCTTGTTCTGTGTTGGACAGAGACATGATTACGATTGCGCCAAGATGAAAATATAAACTCGATTGGCATATTTAAGTTGTTTTAACGCGCTCTCAGAGAAATACGTTGCTACATTTCGCACCTCGCCTTAGATGTGCTAGCTTACACTTGGGTGGGCACATTGATTGTGGGGGTGGAGTGGTGGCATATCATAAAGTGACTCTGGATGGCTCACATGTGGCTGACCCAATCTGGCTGGATTACTTCATGAGAAGGATCACCAGTCGTATGGCTGTGCCAGGCCGACACGGTTGCTCATTCGGGGGTGGGGTACTTCATTAAATGTGATATGGAAGGGATAGGCGTTGAATAACATGCGGATTGGGATGCGGCACGCATTCTGTTTCGATTCGGAGTCATAGTGGCTTACTGGATGCCATGTGGCCTATAAAATGACTTGTGAGGGCCTACGAGCAATAAAAAGAAAAAAAACCGAAAAAGTTACAGTGTCCAAGGAAAAGCTCAAGGAAGTCAGTGTTCTTATTCTCCTAGACGAATCCCGCTCTCGCATCCCAGGGAGAGGGGTAGTAGGCTTGGTTGACGGGAGGGAGCCGATCCAGGGTTTGATACATGGGCGCGCGAGTGATGAGCGCGCCACTTGCCACTATACTACCTTTGACTCCTTCGCGGGATAGATCGTCTCCTTTAACTACTTCTTCTCTTTTTCTGTGAACATATCTACAAAAAGCTATTCTGAAACACAGTTACAACAGGAATTAGACAGATTGTGAAGAAAAAACTTAAAGAAAAGGGAACTTGAATTGTAGCGGGGTGGAGGAATAGGAGCTCAGCGTTAATTGCGCCATGCTTCCAAACTTTCTTAAGCGTCATGAAGATACAAAGTGCTTGACTACTGGCGAGGTACTGGGGCTGGCACGGTTCTCCCGACTAATTCGGCAACCAATGAGTGGTTTGATTAAGACCGAGGATGCTGGGGTTAATCCTAGCAAGGTGGCCACGGTGCGCTCGATTCAGAACTTTCAATATCACTGCTTAACCAGGCGATTGTACCGGTTGCAGCCCGCAAGCTTTTGTTCGTGGAGTTCTTTTTTGTATTTTGTCTTGTCTCGATTCGAAATTCAAGACGGGAATATAAGAGTGTGTTTTGCTATTGGTCGTTGTGAGTTGTACGTTGTCAAATGTGCTTCTGTACGTCTGCTTGTACTTTTATCGTCTTTGAATGAAGTGTGGGTAATCAAAAACGCGATATTCGTGGATTCCTTGTTCCGATTTCTCGCACTGAACGCCGTCTGGGTTTTTGCAAAAGTTCGATATCTCTATCCGACCCCATGAATTGCAGGTAAAAGATTCAAGGAAGAGCCTGAACCACCGGTAAATGTATGATCCGCATCCTCACGGGAAAACTCGTGACCACGACCAAGAGCAGGAGGTACGCATAACTCATTAAATTTGAATCAACTTCGCGCTCTGCTATTTCACATGGCTGCTATTCTGCTCTTTTTGTGATCATACTTTCATCCCATTTTTAATTTTTGTGCAGGTCATTCCCGCGATAAGGCTTGACGATGCTGAATGGAAGATAATCCAGCAGAACACATTCACCCGCTGGGTGAACAATCATCTCAAGAAAGCTGGGGATTCCATCCACAGCCTAGTGAGCTATTCGTTCTTGTTGTATGAATTTTGTTTTTTGTCAGGTTTTTTGGTAAGGGTCACCTTCTGATGACCTGTATAATCGTGGAATCGAAGTCACCTACTTGTATCATTTCGCAGCATAGTCAACAAGACCTGGAAAGATCAGCGGTTACTGTTCGGGCAATATTCACCCATTACTGCCCCTTCCGTATAAAGGTCACATTTGGATCGAATTTTTTCCCTAGTTGCAGAGACGGAGAAAAGCCTGCCTGTTGTTGCTCTGACCTCATTCAGTATGAGCACTGCAAGTGAAAACTCTGCCCACGCCACAATCGCCAGACTAACAGGCTCACTTTGAGACCGGCGCCTGTAAAAGTGCGTTCAAACTTTCCGTCAGCATTTTGAGCTTGCACCAGCGTTTTGGGCGACTAGGGAAGTATAGGTCTCGATCCAGCGCTTTGAGCGTACGCCGGCGCAACACGAATGCACTCTGAACATGCGTTCATACTTTGCGGCAGCGTCCTGCAGCGTCAGCGACTAGGAAACTAGAGGTAGGTTTTAGCGTGTGCCAGCGTGATAACGCGTCCACCAGTGTGCGCTAGCGTCTAGCACCATCACCAGCGCATCGAGGGTTAGGGAGGGGTCGATCCAGCGTCTATCATCTCATCTATCAAATCTATCGTCCGGAAAAGTAGACTATGGCGCGATAGGACAGTAGCAGACGCTAGTACTTCCCTACGCGCCACACCCTGCAGTATGCTACCCTCCTATCTCCCCATACTCTACCAGCTGTCTGCTACACTCCTATCTCCCCATACCCTAGTAACTGTCTGCTGCCTGCCTATCCCGCCATACTCACTCTTGGACGCTGCCAGACGCTAGTGGACGCCATTGGTCGCTGATGGACGTTGCAGTTTTTTAAGTTTTACATGTATACGAGATTACTAGAACCAGTCATCTAGGAAACGGATTTTTCTGATGGCTTGAAGCTTATAAGCCTGGCCGCCGTGCTTTCACAGAAGAACGTTGGCCGGTTCAACAAGAAGGTGGGTTTTCGCGCCACATCGTTTGTACATGTCTGGCACTTGAGAGTTTAGGTCAACTTCCGTTCGCAAAAGCTTGAGAATGTTTCTCTCGCGCTGAAGTTCTTCCAAGATGTTGAGCACATCAAAATTGTAAATATTGGTGGGTATTCATCTACTTGGAATCCCAGTTGTTATTGCTTTTCGATGTTCCAACTGTTACTAATTATGTGATTTCAGACAGTTCACATATTGTGGACCAAAATAAGAAGCTGATTCTTGGCCTAATATGGACGTTGATTCTACACTATTCGATTTCCATGGGTTGGGTTCAGGTGAGCAATTTTTGCGCGTTTCTGAATCTCGCCTTCTCTGACTTCCGTTCTAGTTTCATTAAAATCAGAATAATTATCACTGCTTATTCTGTGTAAGGAACAAAAGCGGAGGCGGTGTGGTGCAGGGTCAGGCACACGTCGCGTATTGCGCGGGGGGGGGGGTCAAACTTGATACAGCAGGGACGTAGCGTGCAGGAAATAATGCGTTCCGAAGGGAAGTCATGCACATTGCGCATTGTATAGAGGTGTTGATCAGCACCTTTGCGTATCACTTCCTTTTCACTAAACGAGGAGGAGGTGTGGAGTCTTGCCAAGCTTTCTAGAAGGAAATGTAGACTTTAAAGTGGAAATCCGCGACGGCCGAGTTCCTGCAGTAATTAAGCTGCAGCAATATTGTTGAGCTTATTAGGAAGAGAAAACCTTCTGCTTCCCAACGCCATGTAGATCTCCGTCCTACATTACGCCTTTACGAAGTTATGGCCTTTGAAAGGTAAAAAAAAAGCTTGTGTACGCGAATTTTCCGCAACGGGTGAAAGTTGTGCATTACACTACTCTCAAGGTCAATCTCTTCAGTTTTCAGTTTTGTTCGGTTGCTTTGGTACAGCTACATCGAATGGAGCAGATACCTCCACACACGCCACAGTCACTAAGGGGGTGCAAGGCGGGTCTACGCGGTTACCCCCTTTATAAAGCCGTGGGCAGGGTGTAAGGGGGACGCACACCATCAATATTCCGAGTGATGCATTGACCCTCGTGTTTTCGGCCGCCCACGTTCTCATTTATCACGACGCGATTTCAGAATCGGTATACCATATCGAAGTAAAAACACATAATATAATATGAAACGACTGCTCGCTACATTCACTTCTACAGAGCCCTGGTTTTATGACTATTCAGACTGTAAAAAATTCAGTAATACGAGTTAAATTCACATTAATCAATTCATAAACACTGAGCAATCGCGATAATCACAGTAATGGTGCCGTTAATTCCCCTCTGCTACAAATTAAAATCGTGGGACCATTTTGCAAGTTCGCGCATCAAACTCACACAAATCGGTGCGTTCACAAGATATCGCCAGGACTGCACTTGTGTAATTATAACAGTCGTTTTCGCGCGGCAAGACGAATGGGGGGGTGTCAAGGGGCTCGGTTTGACACGGCGCCAGCCCTTTCTCCGCAACTGTTGTCTCTGTCGCGTTTCAGCAGTTGGTGGAGAACGGGGTCATGCCAACCCAACACGCTGACACCCCTCAACGTCTGCAGTGAGAGAGTCTGACATGTTGTGCACTTCTGTTATTCACCGCTATAGTTTCGAGCGGAAAAGAACGACGGTCAGCCTGAAGAAACACCAAAACAAAAGCTGCTGAATTGGATTCGTAGCAAACTCCCTGCTGGAATGCCCCTCACCAACTTCACCTCGGATTGGAATGACGGCATTGCTGTCGGAGCTTTGGTTGGTTATTTGACGGTTTGTTAACCTAGGATGAGTCCACACACACATCCACTTGACGCTCCGACCGTTTTAACCACCAAATGCTGGCATATGCATACTAGAAGACACTGCAAGATGATAAGTTCAGGAAGTCAGGACGCGCTAGAACGCACACAATCGGGCCCGGGCGAGACCAGGCGTTCCCAGCGCAGCCACGGGCACTGTATCCCATGTGCTGTGCCCAAACGCGCTCTACCTCGACCGGGGAGATAGTCCTGCAGTTCGTGCATTTATGTGCGTTTCTGGCCCAACATTCAATCCCAGGCGCAATGTTCGAGAGTACTGGGCACACACTGAATTTCTGACCCTGTACTCGAAGGTCCACATGGGTAGCATTGAACTGTTCTCAACCCCCTGTGCTTGACTTTGTCGCATAGTTCTTGAGCACACGTTGATCAGCCTCTGGAAATGAATATCCTGCTCAACGATTTGTTAAAAGGGTAGTGGGTCATGTCATCTTGTGTGGCGGTGATCACAAAATTGTTTTGAGCTCTTCGAAACTGTCACTCAGCTAGTAGCCCTTTCTAGCATACTCTTCCTAGGTAAACGCAATGGTACCAGGAGCTGTTTCTGACTGGGACCAATGGACACCAGATCATGCGCTAGAAAACACCCAGAAGGCGATGCAGATTGCTCAGGATCGACTGGGTGTGGCACCAGTAAGTTTCTCTTTCTCAAAGTTTCTCTTTCTCAGCGATCGTACTTCACACCCCGTTGGAATCAACTAATACGAATTCGAGTGTTAAGCACTTAAAAGTGTTTCTGTAACTACAATCATGCTTGGGGTGAAAGGTGGGAACCCTGGTAGAATTAGAAATATTCTCAACACTTTCATGGTCATTCCCACTGAGATTTCGATTTCTACCAGTGGGAAGAAGAAGTGTGTGGCTTGACCCAAAAAGTGTTGATCTACACTGAAAGCTTCCAACCTTTTATATTAGCTGAAAAAGAAAGTCTTGTCACTGTTGTGACTTTTTTCTTCCTTATTTTCTAACTCAATATGGAAATTAATCAACAATATACTCGTCATTGTTAGTCACTACAGTGCTCCACCTAATGGGCAGGTGAGCATTCTCCTTCTACCCGAGGAAGAGGCTGCGAGTCGAGTAAATCGCTTCCTCTCGACCGGTGTCATCAAAATTGCTGACAGTTTTCTCAGCTAAGAAAGCCTTGAGGAGGCGGAGCAGGTAGCAGTCGTAGGGGCCTATGTCAGGAGAATATGATGAGCGGGGTCTGGTCTCCCAGCCTTGCTCCTCAATTATTTGGTAGGTCTCCATAGCAGTATGGAGTCTCGCGTCTCACGAACGAGGTGCCACGAAGTTAGTCTCGGTAATTTTTCTCCAGTTTCCATGGGTTTCTGGAGCTGAGCGGCCTGGTACCCGTGCGTTCTTACGGGGCAGCTCGTTTTACAGCATTCTCTAGAAGCAGCACAGGAGAACCTCCTTGGAATACATACCCGGTTTGGTCCGCTAGGATGGATCTTCTCCTAGACAGATACGGTACTATGTGGATGGAAGTCTCATAGGACTCGTCTCCCATCTCCACTAAGCAGTCTCATAGAAACTTCTTTTGACGATTGCGGAGAAGGGGAGACCAAGGGCTACCCAACCGAAGTTTGCCTTTAAGATCGTGTCTCCTTTCGCGGAGCCAGCGAACCCTAGGTGAACAGTCCTGATGTTAGTGGTATCCTGCCACAATGCACTGTTGATGTTGGAAGTGCGACTGTCGCTCCACTGCCGCGGTGCCACCCAACATGATGACTCGAAGCTGTGACTGACATTGTAATTTAATCCAGGGATGACGAGGTGCATTTATTATATGTCCCTTTTACGGGAAAGCTGCTAGAGTGTTCTACAAGCTTAGCATGTTACTTGTTTGAGCATCAAGAATCGAAAGCTGTAACTATTCAAGAAACACTGACAGGACTTTATTTCCAACCTATTACTAGCCAATGTAACGATGAGATCAATAGTTTTCTTGAGCTTAGTTATCGCTATCAAAAAGCTACGAGCTGCCTTGAGTGTCGCAGTACTGAATCAGTGTTTTGATTAGGATAGACGCGACCCTTGCCAGTAAATACTCTAATTTCTTTATCTTGAGCTCTATTCATATGTTGCTGTGCCATGCGGTCAAGAAATGAGTGCAGTGCGAACAGTGTTATGACATTTTAAATATGAGGCTAGTAACAGCGTACATCAGGTTTATAATATATTTATCAGATTTATAGGGAGAAAAAACGATTTTCTACGAGCAGAACCTGAATTGAGTGGCAGTGTTTTGCCACGCTGTCGGTGTGTCCGCCACCCTACTGGACACATTGCTGGCGATTTGCTTACCGAAAACACCTCCGAAAACGCGTTTGAATGGCTTGAGTAATGCTTTTCGATAGTGCTTCGTTGCGAATAGTATTGCCACGGTGTTGATAGGACTGTGTAGCGCAACAGTTTGGGAGATTGCTGCGTTCCAGACTAAATTACATGGGTTATGAATGTGATGTGTCAATGATTGGAGAGGTCAAAAAAGACACTGCATTCATGGCGCAGACCATTGTGTCACACAGGGTGCATGAAAGACATTGCTACCACCATGAGAAGGTGGAGTCATACTTCATCACCGACTTCCAGTTCATTAGCTCGAGGCGCCTGCGTGATTTCTACGAAAGAGTCTACCAGGTACATGTTCTTAGCCCTGTGATAGATGACGACGTTAGCTGTTCAGCTGCTTGGACAACATCGCTACGGTACACGGTCACATGGTGTGCTTTTCATTACTATCAGATTCACCGTTCTTAATGTTTTGCGGGAATTGCCAAATTTTATCGTTTCGTTCCCTCCCCCCCCCTCCCCTTAGAAGGCAGCCCTACAAAATTTCTATGACACTCTCTGCATTGGTAAGATTTGCTGTGCACGATGATGCGGGCTTGTCCTCGTGGTATTTGGTATTGGAACCGACTGATGGATTTTCGTTGCGAGCGCTACCTAATCGGTGAGAGCAAAGTATACAACTGCACCACTTAGCAGCTGTATATTGCATGGGATGATCTCCATAGCTTAGTGAGAAATTTCCACTTTAGAGCGACCTTGCGATAAACATGCATCGCTCGTTTGAATCGCCAACCCGTCGGAAACATTCGGCCAATATCTGCTTGGGCTAAATACAAATTTGAGAAATGATCGGCGCACACCTTCCCTACCGCCGGTGTCTCTACCTAATTACATGGCCAACCGGTTGCTGACCTTCCTTTCTGTAGGCCTGAGCTTAGTTTGGCTAGGCTCCACCCACGCCCCGCCCACCGCGGGTGGAGCCGCGCCTGACTTACGTGTGCTACGTGCATTTTGACCTGTGCCCCCCCCCCCAGACTTGACCGGCTCCTTGAAGCGACTTCTTACGTATTCCCCTTTTTTCTGGGTGGTGACTCAAACATACACTCCTTATCCCTGAGACGGAGTAGGCGTGGCTTTTGAGCATGGCATAGGACGGGTTTCTCGTGGGATACTTCAATTTGAAACAACTGCTATCTTGTTCTGTGCCATATGTAGATTACGACTGCTCCGAAATGACAATATCTTACGGAAACCTGGGCCGACGATTTTAGAATCAGCACGCAGCCACGCCTACCCGATCTCAGGGATTTGGATTATACAAACAACACACACACACACAACACACACAGACACACAACTATAGAGGAGATAGCACTTGTATGTCAAGGGTATTGTGATCCCATGAACTTCGAATTCGATGGATTTTAAGGACATCGGTATTGTGAGAGGCGTCCAGAGTTTGCGGTGTATCAATTAATCGCATCACTTTATGATGCGCTCAGTGGGCAGTGTGTCTTTTTTGTCCCCCCCCCTCACAAATAGGTTGTGAAAGCGATTTAGAAAACTTACATGGAGCACCAAATGGTACATGGAAGTGACGAGTTGAGAATAAAATCAACATTGGTATAATTACACTCACTGCTGGAGTTACACACTGAAATTTCGGTATCATTGGAAATCATTCTCGCATATTGCATTTTATTTTAAACTCACTCGAGGTTCATGATATTCTGACTGCGACCAATCAAAAAAAAGGTAAAGAAGGAAAAAAGATCATTGTAACTACGATCCGGTTTTATTCAGTTATAGTTTACGTTGTTACAGTAATTGTGGTGCTGTAGTGCTGACCCGAGAAATGGCGCTGTACTTACTTCCTTACCTCGCTACCCCCCCCCCGCTAATATCTCTTCCTTAAGGACATCCTATCTGACTACCTTAGAGAAGATCTTTCAGTGTACGAACTAAGCAGTTTTGCACCTGTGAATTGGCACCCGCTCATTCGAAAGAGCATGTCAATGGAGCCAAAGATTTGTGGTTCTTTATGTATCCGCTGTCTTTCTTATACGCCACACGCACACGAAGCCCATATTTACGCCTCACGCCAGATAGCATTAGTATTCCGTCCTGCTTTGACTTACGCCTCAGAGACTTGGACTCTACGAAAGCAGGATGAGCATGCGGTTAGCGTTATTCAACGCGCCATCGAAAGGGCGATGCTCGGAGTTTCCCGCTACACGCAAGTGAGAGAGGGAATCCGGAGCTCCGCACTCCGCCAACGATCGAAGATCAGAGATTCGCCGCATTTGCCAAGGCTTCGAAGATTTGGTGAGTTGGGCACGTCACGAAGATTATCACTGGACCAGAGCGACTACCGACTGGTATGTCAAGCGAACACCTGGACGACCGCCTACGCGATGGTCAGACTTCTTCGTGAAAGCTCTGAACGAATGGTATGAAGTTCATCGTGTCCCTCGAGCCATTGGGCAACTCTTGCACGTTGCAGGGACGAATGGAGACGTTACTGGATGCCCGCTCGAGCAACTCGATGATCATCGAGAGTGCAGGTGACACAGGAGATATACTTGATGACTTGTTGTATGTGCTCACTGTGGAGAGGGCCAGGTGCTACTTGGTCACTATTTGATCTGCCCTTTCTTGCGGTTATTGCATCTTTTTACAAAACTTGACTGAATGCATCAGACATGGACTTGAGACTTGTTCTGTCGTAGCGAGAAGGATTATGTCCGTCTCTGTCCTTCTTCTTAACACTAGTTTTTTTTCTGGAAGGAATGCTTTACGTACCTGGACGATCAGGTGGAAAGCCAGATAGCGATGTAATTCCAAGGTTCTTTGGCTCATAAAGTGCTTTTTCCTCTGAAGATTGACAATAACAGTGACAGCAATTATTCCACACAATACCGTCATCAGGATTGCGAGTGTTGACCATACCACTTGAAACTCGGTGAACTTATGGTCATATTCCTCAGTGGCGAGGTATGATCCGTACCCTTTGAGGAACCGTAGTTGAGGTTTGCTCTGAAGATAACATTGCTCATATGAAGATGGATGGTTCAAAATAGTAAGCAAAGTAACTTTGGAAAAACGGATGAGTTTACCTCAACTACAGCTTCCATTTCTTCTCGTATCCTGTAAGACGTTATGAGAACAACAATAAGAGGAATATTCCCAACTATATAAACAATTGCTGTGATGCGGTGCCCATTCCAATGTAAGAGATATTCAAGTGTTTCCGGTAACGGTCTCAAGGCATTCAGTCGGTGTATAAAGGCGACAAGTGTTCCGCAAAATGAGAATTGTAACAACAGGATTGAGATACACTGGAAACTAAATACATTCAAGAAGCTTGCTCTTCAGCAAAATAGTGAATCTTTTTTTAAAGCGTT